GGTTCACCTGGAGCACCTGGTACTCCTAGTTCTCCCTGAGTAATACAATAGCTCTGTGTCAGTGATGTACTGTGTGTAAAAACATATACTGCATATTTTCTCAAGGTCACATGACATGCTTTGGCCATGAAATTTTGTAACTGGAGATGACTTAAATTTCTGGAGAATTTCTGAAGGGATCTTGAATATAGAAAAGCCAAAAAAACGGACTCCTAATTCTTAACCTCAGTTTTCCAGTATCTATCTTTTTTAACCGCCTTTTAAAACAGTTGGTGTTGATTTTCCAAAATTACACAAATAAAACTATCCGAAGTAATGACAATGTTTGCAGGTTTCAACTTCATAAATAGTTGACTTATATTGCCTAAAATCTAGACCAAAATTAGGAAGAATGAGCTATTGAATCGATTCCGATGCAATTTTATGTTAAGTCCTGTTACATTTGGAAAAAAACCTGCCTCGTAACTAATCATGGGAAAATCACATGGAAAAGTAAGTAAATCCCTTCTTTAAGTAGAAAATTTCCAGATCCATATTTACCTTGGCTCCTGATGATCCTGGTTTCCCCTGTAATCCAGGTTCACCTTTATCACCCTATATAACAATGTAAGAGTATGGCCGATACATCAGTGTGTTTTGTCACACGTGGTATGACTGGCAAACATAAACAGACACTGCCAGGAAATTGGCTCTTAAAAATAGGCATTGAAAGGCTAAAGCTCTCCTCTCTGACAGGAAACTTGAAGTTTCAACTTCCTGTCAGGAAAGATGAGATACCGATGACAAAATGTGATCTGCCGGCCTCTCTGCTCACCTTCCCCACCCGCCTGATCTCCCGGGCCCAGTCAAATCACGGTTCTCTGCACTGACTTCGTATTTCCACCACCTTATTTAGTAAAACTCTACGAATACTCAAACCTGTCTGAGCAAAAAATATTTATATATGTTTCAGTTGTTATCATAGCTTACGGATTTAAGTATACATTCAGCACAAGGATTTTCATTAAAATCTAAGAACTATTGATTATTTCATTATGCTTTTCTGTAAGAACAAGTTTATATTCTGGATGTGACATAAATATACAAAACAAAAGCATTTTTCACAAATGAAAGTAAATCTAATTAATTTTTAGTAATTTCATAGGTATTCAATCTTCTTCTTAATGTTGATCACATAAAAAATGTTACCTTCGGTATACAATTTTAAATAAATACATATAGACTTTTTGATATAAAATAATGTATGGGTGGAAATGGAGCTAAATGTAAAAACAAAGTTCTGGAAATGGATTCTATGTTCCTAAATACTCTCTAGGACATACAATTCAGTGCTTACTGGCCAAAACTCATCTTGGATTAAATTAAAAGGTTACACTAACAGACTCAGATTTATAAAGTCTATTTTAGCTTCTGAGAGCATGGGTCAAATTAATTCTTGCTGTAGCTGCAGTGCAATCAATAAAGTTACATCTGAAATAAATTTGGCTCCTTGGGTGGAAAAAGCAGCACGTAACATTATTTAACACAATTAAAATATAAATAAATGAAACATGGGCAGAAAGTTCTGATGTATACTGAGAATTATCTGGCTCCCAGCATTGCAGAACATTTTCCAGGACTGCAAAGCTGAAACAAAGTCTCATGACCATTTCTGCAATTGTTCCAACCCTCATGGGATATGCACCATCTACTGAGCTATATTAAGCTCTCCTGAGACTGAACCAACATATAAGGTAATAGAGAGAAAATCGTATATGTTCTCACCAATATTCAGTAGGCAAAAATATTAGCTAAAAAACCATGGCATTCTGTCATCTGTAAGGCAGTCATTTATGAAAGTCACAAGCAAATTAATACAAACACTTACCTTAGGCCCAGGAGTTCCAGGTAGACCAAATGAGCCTTCTGGTCCCATCAAACCCTATTTATTTGTGAAAAAAGGCAGAGGCATTTCTGTACTAATCTAGAGGAATAATAGGTTCAGTATAGTGTTCTAGTATTATTATTATTTATTAGTAGTATTATAACACTATAGGGAAACAAATAGGACAGGAAATATAAAATATATTATCATATTCCTGTATATGCCATAGGTCTGACACATCACAGTGGATTATTTAGACCTTCTATGACCTCAGGAAGCGCTACTATGAGATGGAAAAAAATATGCAGGAAAAAGGCACAGCACCGTCATGAAGTATTCCTGAGAGAAAAAAATCTTCAACTCAAAACAACATCGTGCAACCTAATCTTTAACATATCCTTAATATGTCCTAAGCTCCAATCAAAAGTGACACAAGACTTTCTTAGTTTCCATTTAGGGTTCCCAAGACCAGTAGAAGTACATGTGGCACTTCATAATTCTCCTCCTTCTTTCTTACTACGTTTCCCTCAAAGGCTGCCATGCCTTGACTCTGTTTGCAAACTTCATGGAGATTTATTGGGAGTCATTAAACTTTGGGGCTACATCTTTGCATCTTCTGCAGAATCTTTAAGAGGAAGAATCTTCAAGAAGGAAGCTTCTGCCTTTTGAGATTATGGCATTTCAGCACATGTACAAAGCCAGAGCATTGCCAAAACAGTCCCTTAGACTCCTCCCATGAAAACGTGTTGATAAAGGCATGCTTTGTTGGTTTTGTTCCCTATAAAAGCATTAAAGTGTGTTAAACCAGCAAACGACTGATTTGCATAGTTGCTGTTTAAAGCTATTCTCACGTAGGTATTAGAAAAGAATATTTTTAAAAATCATACTTCCCAGGAAGGAATTCCTATTTATAGTATTTTTCACATCTGGCATTATTATATGTCTTTCTCACCACTTAATCTCACTTCTCTTTGTCTCCAGAACTGCATGAATCAATAAATACTACTACTACTATTACTACTACTACTATTATTATTACTACTATTATTATTACTTGCTTATATACTATGAAATATGATCTGCTATAGGAGTGTACATAAAACACAGCATAAAATAAAAGTATAATAATACAGAAAGACAAACAATTAAATAAGACCTGGAAATCTAATTTGTCAGAGTTACTCTCTGATAGAATTACTCTGAGTTATAATTCCACACTAGTTCACTTCTAGTTTATGGCCACACCAGTCCTTGGATTATAGATGTGGCAAATGTACATCATAAATATCCCTCATTCATTTTATCTTATACAAAGTGAAAATATTATGTATGCAGAATAGCTTTCTTTTTTTTTTTTTTAATCAGGTATGTGCATATATCCATACCGACCTGTAAACATATACTAGAGAAATCAAGTCAAAAAACATGTTTAGAATAACTTAAGGTCAGGTATACATTTGCAGGAAAGGGAGAAATAAAACCCAGTTGTCCTGGCTTCTGTTCTTGCACTTTTATTACCAAGACATATTTATTGTATTTAATTAAAGAAATTACAGGAAGACAACTACATGAAATCAGTACACTGCAAGAAGAAAACTTCCAGATGCAATATAGGAAAAGCTCGAGAACATTATCGGAAAACTGTGGCATGTAAAATTTAAAAGAGAAGAGCATGCAATGAATAAAAATACAGCACAATTCAAGAACATGAAATGTAGCATTACTCTTCCATTTTCCAGAGCTGACACTATTTATGTGGCATATAAATTAATAAATTACTGATGTTGGCAATGTACTAGGGATAGTTATTACCAAAGAACTTGTTACTGAAGAATTTTCCCAAGGTATTAATAGACTATCCACAAGCTTTCCATCTGTTTTTTCTGGAACAAACATATTAAGTGTGACTAATACGAGGAAAATCCCACTATCTTTTTCTGGTTGAAATTCCCTAATGCCATATAATGTATTCAAATATTCCATGCATCAATTTCCTACTTATTTTATCAGGTGACAAAAGATACATCAAATGAGTTGACAGGAAACATGAATAAATTAATTTCAAGTTTATCAAGAACCAGATGTTATTTATCTAAATAAAACTCAAAGACAATATGGTAGATGAGTTACTTGAATAAACACATAAACTTCCGAATCCCACAAGGATGTATTATAGCTGATTATATACCCTTCCCTTCAGCATTTTGTTCAACTTTGCTCAGAAAGAAATGGAGGAAAAAATTTCCAGCGAAACACAATAAAAATTCATAGAAGCACAGTAAGAGACCAAATGTGCATGTGTTAAGGAGAGTAGGGACATTTGAACTTCCAGTTCCGGCAGTGTTTCAGCCAAATTTCATCAAAACAACTACAATACTTGCACCAACTTTCAGAACAATTCTTTTACTACTGTGATTTCTAAAGGATTATAAAGAACATGGAAATCACCCTTCTTAGTAACAAAAATGTTGTTAGCTAAACTGTCCAAGTAGCACGTATTATTTTCAGTTTCCTACGTTCCAAAATAAAATCTCTCTTTAAGCAGTTTAGGAGTTCAGTGTTCTCAGCTATTCTCACAATCTTTGTCAAAAGAGCACTATCACAAAAGCATTCTGAAATTCATCTTCAGAAATCCATTATGCACTACGACAATTTCTAAGTCAAAATACAATTTATTTAAGTACTTTCAAAGTTAATTCAAAATTAATTCAGAGAGCAAATTCAGACAAATGCATTTGCTGGATTTGTTTATCAAATCAGTCAGGAAACCATCAATTTTAAAAGAAAAGTGTGCATATAGTATTGTGGGGGACATTTAGAGATTAAACTTAGTCTGATCATATCTGCCAACCTGAAAATGCGAGTTGTTTCTGTATTTGCCATTGCTTGTTTGCTTATTACAAGTAGAGAATGATGGCATCAAAATTATTTGTTCATAATAATACCATTTTGCAAACTTACAGTATCCCCTGGTGACCCTTTCGCTCCTGGTTGACCTGGGGGTCCAATTTCGCCCTACATTTTTTTTAGATAAAGAGAAGAATTCTTTGATTAATGTATGTATAGTTATCAAATTTGTTAAATATTCTTTAATTATGTAGACTTATTTAGTTAGGATTATTTCTCAAAGTACTACAAAATTAACTTTGTTCTTCTAAATTATTAATTTATTCTGGAATAGTTGAAATAAAACATAATGAGAGATTTTCAGACATGCCACAAAGAACTTGGAGCTTGTCTTCATTCATTTGCAGTATTATTTAATGTCCTAAATTCTCACTGTGAAAACACTCCTCTGAGCACAGAGTGAACCCTTACTTTGGAATGGGTGTTTATACTCAGGTTTTAACTGTGTTTTGAACTATTAGCAATACCTTTTGTCCTTTTGCTCCTTGATTTCCAGGGATTCCAGGAATTCCCTGAGGGGGCAAAAAGAAAACCTTTTAAATATATGGAATAGTTTTCCCAGAAAATAATCTATAACCCACACCTCTGTGTCCTCATAAATTTAACATTTACCATATGATTTGGGTTCAAAATATGGGCAAGAAATAGAAAATTCAAAAAAAAATCACACACATAAGATAAACAAGATTCATCTGGAAACATCAAAACTATTTAATCAACAGATACAGTGAAACGCTAATGTTCAGTCGCTCCCTGGTGCTGTTGTGCCAGGAGTCCATGTCTGCCATGGGGCAGGCTCACATCCTCCTGGCTGCCCAGCAACGGCTGCAATGCTTTCCTGAAAACCCTGACTGGCACAGGGAAAGAAACCACTTCTCATTACCCATAAGATTTCCCACGTAAGATAGAGCAGAAATCTTGGTCAATAAGACCACAAGTATGACAAAGTCTATTTTCCTATCATCTAAAATACAGTGATTGTAACAGAGTATAAGAGAAAGCTATAATGACATTTGATGTATGCTAGCTTCCCCCGCCATAAATATTTCATGATCTGTGTCATGTTCATTTGGCTCTAGAGTATATTTCAGTTTTCTCATGGTGGTCATTTACTTTAACTTTACTCAGTTTTAAAACAAAACTCCATATATACTTAGAACTGTAGTCTACATTCAGTTAACCTATTTTTTACCCGAGTAAAAGTACTCAAATTTATTGGATAGATGCTGTTTTTACTTGTACCATCATTAATCTGCAGCAAGAATCTGGCTTACAGACTTCACATTTTAATCTACTATTGAAACTAATATGCTGCAGTGAAAACAAGAGGACTGTTCTAGACACCTCCAAAACAAATGCATTCTGTGAGAAAAAAAAAAAAATCACATGAATGCAACAACCAGGAATAACCTGATAGTTTCCATATGGATTACATTTGTGCAACACTGGCTTGGAAAAGATAGTTCCATTGTTTTGCAGTTTACACCCAGCTTCTAGTTAATAATGACCCCATCAAGCAGAAACAGTTCATTGGTCAATGGCACATGATTTCACATTGACATCTTGAGCATTTTACAGGTCATCAAAATTCCAGTGTACCTATCATTAAAGGAAAAGACCAATGAATGTAATAAAATTAACTCTTTCTGAGACTTCTACTCACATTGTGTAATATTACTCTTTCAGCTAAACTTTTGTCCAAAACTATCTTTAATCTTTTGTATAAACAAAGAGATAGGAAATAGGCCATATTTATTACCACATTTAGGAACTTGCAGACCTTCCCATGAGTTCTCAGTATAATTATTTAACAGTTAATTTCTGTAGCTGTAAAATACAAAACTAGATTATAAATATCTGTACCTGTAATAAAAACCGGAAATAATATATGCTGAAATAATCCTCCCACTAGGCAGCAATATTCTTGTGCTGAAAGAGT